GAGCAAATATTTCTTTAACCTATGAATATGTTCTAAGATAAAAATGGGCAGTATCCTGGCTTTTTATTTCCTTTTTTTTTTAATTAAAAGTATATGTATCAGGACATCTCTTGGTGGACCCCCACCAGCTTTGCTGTAACTAACTTTCTGGTAATGTATCTTATCTTTTAAAGTTTGAAAATCAACACTTTAATGTGCTGATTATTGCATATGCCTCTCTGACTCTTTGGATAGATGGGGAAATCGTTTATCCAGTCTTTATTCTGAGATAAGTGAACTGTTACCCAGTTTCACTTCGGTTTCCATCTGCTTCCCATATTATCTTGTAGTAAAGTTATAAAACAGAGTTGGAGGAAAAAACTATTAAAAACACTAAAGACAAACATTCTTCTTAGATACTATTTTTCAGCAAAGATCTATGTGGCCTGTAAAGATCTTCGTAAACAAAGTTCTTTACTGTGTCAACCTTCTAGCTAATTATCAAAGAAACCTTAATAAAAAGAGTGCTCTGTAACTGAAAGCAGTTCTTAATCAACCATCAAGTATACTAAATGATAGTCAGATGTTCAAAATAATTCTTGCTACTTCCAACATTATTTGTAGAATTCTGTATCTGAACAGAATTCTACAAAGACTCGGAATAGGATTTTTAAAAGAAATAAATACATGCATGTCCAGACAGCTTTAAAAATAATTTTAGAAGGCTTTTAAAAGTTCTTTCTTGCATTGTTCTGCGACCTTACATGTGCCAGGATCTACAAAAGCAGCTGTTTGTCCCCTTGTTCTCTGTGTTCTGCGTTCTCAGCTAGGTAAGTTGAGATAGGGAGACCCAGTGAAATGCTGCTCTTGGATCCTGGGCAGTGGGAGATCTGGATGTGCCGGGGACCAAACTCAGCAGCTTCCCCCGAGGTACTCAGGGCCCAAGATGCTCCCTGCTGAAGAGTCAGTCTGTGGAAGGGCGCGTCACTGACCTCGGCCACAAAGCCCTCATGTCTCCCTGAAAATCATAGGAGCTAAATGGTCTTCCCATCATAGGCAGATCACCTCTGTATGTGAGCATGCCGTAGTTAGCAGGTGAGAACTGGCAAAATGAATTGCTCTGTATGCAAATGTGGTTGTTCAGCTTTTGTTCAGTTGAAAGCAGACCTCCGTCTTGGCAAAGATACCGTTTGGCCGTACATACTGGGTTGATTTAGAGAAGGTACTAAATTGTAAGCTTGCTTTAGCAGTTAAAATCTCTCTACGTGGTTGTAATGGCCAAAGAGTAATGAGACTTAAAATTCTCAGAACTGTGCCCAAAACTTACTTTGGATTTGCCTTACAACAGAAGTGCAAAGCTTTCTTCGTGAGAGAGAGAAAGAAGATGAAATCTGGCCTTGAATCAGTGAACTGTATCCTCAAGAAGAGTTCTTTGCTCAGTGTGCGTCCCCTCAGACACCAGCCAATGGCATGGAGAAGAGCCTGTGGGGCTAACCTATGTCAGATATGACATCATGAACCATAACTGCTGCAGGTGAAAGAGGGGCCCGAAGCCAGTTTCCGTGGTAACTGGTAGGCACCTGCAGCTCTTTGACGCAGTACTGGATCTGTCCTTATCTGTGCATAGAGCGTTCAGTGACGGGCATATGTAGCTGTCCTGGCAAAGGCTCATCAGCATTCATTTTGTGGAGGGCAAGCTTTTTTCCCCTTTCTAACATGGCATTTTCACTCCTGTCGTGTTGAGCTCCGTCCCTCATTTTATTTAGCTTGTATTTGTAAATATTGGGGATAACCTTTATTACTTGTTTGAAACATTTCTTTCTGTTCTGTTACAATCTGCACTGAATTTGTGGACTCACCCAAATTTGCATCTAGTTTTACTCCTGCCTGAGGTTCTGCTTTGGTAGCTTGCTGCTTGCAAGGAGAAAGAAAACATCATATGAGCTTGTAAAGTCATAGATAGCCATTTGCTAAGGTCGTAAAGATGGGATGGTGCACAAGATTTCTAAAAGATCAATTCTGCTCTGAAAGAGCAATTGTTCTTTGTATCACGTGCAGTATCAGGAAGCAGATTCGTTGAGTGTGAGACCGGGTTCCCTAGCATTCTGATTACCGCTTGTAGCTGTTAACATGTTACACTACAATGGGTTTGTAATCAGATCCTGCGTATCCGCTCCTTTTGTGGTATCTTGCTATGCACTCTGAAGCTTTGGTCTACGATGCAGATATTGTTTGAGTGAGGAATGAGTGGTGATTGTCAAGATTACAGAGATGGAGATTAATTCTTGGCTTGAGATTATATCTGGAACTATTGTGCACTATTTGTGAGAGTATTCTCCAAACCAGTAGTTTTAACACTCTTTGTGTAGCTCAACATTGAGATGTTTTGTTTCACGAAAGAGTAAGACAGAGCATAATTAAAAATAAACCAACATTCTCCAGACTCCTGTAAGGTTTCTGGTAGACGTTTATAACTAAACCTATTGTGCACCACACTCCTTAGGTGACTGCCCACGGGATTTTAAAGTGCTGGAAGTCAGAGGAGAGAGAATCAGATTTTGTGTGCTTAGGTGAGGATGCTCAATATGCTTTAACCTGCTCCTTTTTTCCCCTCTGTTGTTAAGCATCAGCAACGTTAAAGCTAGATAGCTGGAAGCAGTTTTATCACTTTGCAAGAATGCCTGGCCGTGTACCACAAGCGGGGCCTTCTGAAGCCAGGGAATGGTTGCAATTGCAGTTCAGGTTTTGTTCACTGGGACATCACGCCTTGAACCAATCAAGACTGGTGAGCTAACAAGTGAGAGGGACCTCCTGTTGTCTTCAGTGGTTTTTTTACTTCACAGTTTCCAGAAGGAATGATTGCTACAAAAAAAACCAGCACAGCACTTAAGGAAGTGCCCGTAGAGAGTAGAAATCAAACTGGTCACTAGACAAACCATAAGCTTTCACAGGCTTCTGACGTTTTTCCCAGAAAAAACAAAGGACATTTTTAGAAATGTGATAATAGGTATGATTTTTCAGAGATGCTGATATAGGGACATTCAAAGTAAACAGTCCAGGAAACACGAGAAGAAACATCAGATTCACCTTTAAAAGCCAAAGAAACATTTTTATAATCTAATAGCACACTTCTCGTATTGTTCTGAGCTTACACTGCTTCGTAAACTTCAGCTATTCAGAAGTATCCTCAAAGTTGCGCTTGTGTATTTGGATGATTTTAGGTTTAAACTAAAACACATCCCAAACAAGATCTTAGAAATTGAGTATGGTTGTTAATAGATACCTTTGAGCACAGGTTACAGTGTCTTCCCAACTAGTAATTAACTGGTTAATTTAAACCCATTTTTTGCATACTTTCATCTGGTACATTTTCAAGCGGCATATAGTGATGTCACCAGTGTATAACATTAGGTGTTGTGCTGAAGCAGTTTTAAGTGTTCATCAGTAATATCTTCGAAGTAGATAAGACGTCCATTCTTTGCAAAGTTTTGCAAAAATACATGTAAGGTTGGCAGTGTAAGGTCACTTAAGACTGTCATGGACACTTTCAACAAACAATAATTTTTTTGGTAAGTTGTTTTATCAAAAGCCTAATTAATGTAGCCATGGGCAAGCAGATTAGCCTCACCTAGGGGTTGCTCGCTGCTGTTGGATCACTTTCTCCTTAAAGTCTTGTTAGTAGTGTCCAGGATACTAGAAGGTGGATTTTGTTCCACTAAGGTCCACGATTGCTTAATGGCCATTTCAGGGGGCATCTGCTGTGAACAAAGGATAGGATTCCATCTTGCTGCTTTTATAGGCACAAATCTCTGTTTTCTTGTTTATTTAAGTTTTGATGTAATGGAAGTTACATCATCATACGGGATCAACAGTTACTTAGTAGGCAAATTTGAAACTTCAGCTAAATTTCTTGAAAACATACAAGGACAGGTACAGGACTACGCTACAGTTGGTATGTTTAACAGTCGTGGTCATATTTTCATGTGGTCAATAACTTGCAGGTATTTGACGTGCCTTTTTGATTCTCAGCATGACTTCAGAAGGTTTATCTATACAGTAAGCTTAAAAAATGGAAGTGATGCAAAAACCCATAAGACTGACCTGGTACTTTCACTTCATTGACCAAACCGATGCAAGATCGTTTATCTTGGGAAGAGGCAGATCATTGTCTCTCCTCCCTTTTATATTCTCTTGTTCTTCAATGCCAGAGATCATGATCCCAGAAATGATCATCAGTATTTTTGTGGGCAATGCTCTTTACTAGCCATTTGGACTTGGAAGAAACTCCATATTGAAAAACAGCTACAGGCCACTACACAACGCAAAGAAGATACAGAGAATATAGCAGTCCTTCTTGGACCACTGTAGTGCCATGGTGTACAACCTGGCACTCGCGGCTGAAAAACTGCTGGCATTCTCCTTGCACACCCAGGAGGGATTTTTGGAAATGCCAGGAAAGAACCATGACCTCACAGTTTCTTATCTCCTGTCCCAAGGGAACCTTCACAGGAGGTGAATGCCAGTGGCATTTCTTTGAGACAGTAGTTGCGGTCAACATTACTACCCCCTTAATTTGTAGATACAAATGTGCTTCAGTAATTTCAAAAGCTTTCATTGTAGAGGAAACGCTAACAACCCTGGCTTACCTAATTTTTTGTGCTTCCTTTTGTTTTGCTGTGGTAGCCCTGAGTAGTCAGTATGAAAAGCAGGTGCAAGAATTATGGATTTGCTGCAAGAATAACTTCAGAAATTTGTTGGTATTAGCAACAGCAGTATGTGTGTGAACGTGTTATATAATATGAGGGGAGAATCCCAATTAAAATCTTGTTGCTAAACAAGTGACAAAGACCTTACAAAGAGTATAAGACTCCAGGCCAACTATGGTTATATTAATAATAATAAATCAGATCTGGTCTGTGAGGTTTTTTTATATGGAATAGTATACACATAGGAGGATTTTTTTACCAATTGTCATTCTTGTAACTTTAATTTAGTTTGTGTTGTTTTTTTTTTCCCCCCAGCATTTACTAAATGCTGTCAAGAAACTGGTCTTCTTATGGTGGTGAAGTGTCGGCAAGAGAACACAGCACTGAAAGATTGTCTGGTTGGCTAGTAAGTCCCTCGTGAGTTTTTGTTGGTTTTTTGTTGTATGGCCTATACTAATCTAGAAATGAGTAGAAATCTTAAATCTTCTTAAAAGGGTTTTGTAAGGTTATTGACTTTGATGTATTTTCTGAAAATTGCATCTTTGCTTTAGAAGAAAAATGTGCTGGTCAAGGCCCTACCTGACAAAATTTTACTTCCTTGATAAAGCTATCCTATGGCTATGAAGACTCTCTACTTGGTTTAAAAGGTGACAGATCCAGATTTTCAGCCCAGACAACATGTAGCCCTGTATTCATTATGCTGAATTACACATGGGGGGAACGGGCGTGAGCAACAGAAGCACCTTCATACTCTGTTAGTGAGACAGGATAAGTTTGTTTTGATTTTGCTTCTTGAACTGTTTTTTAAGATGTAGTCTTTGTCCTGAAAGTGTCCTGCTGTTCTGAACAGCAATAGCAGCAGCAATGGGAAGTTGTTAGATACTAAAGAGGTCAACTTGATGCCATGGTGGATTGAAACATCTCTTTTGGAAGTCCTAATTTATCCCCAGTGCCATCAGGCTGAAGTGTTAGATTCTTGAATTTCCCAGCGTGAGGGTTGGGGATTTTTTGAGTTTGACCGGGGGGAGAAGGAGGTTGGTTTGGTTTTTGGTGGAATGTGTGTCCTGGCCTGTTAAACCAGAGATTAAGACTAAATGCCTTTGAACTAGTGACAGTTCTTCTCAGGTATTTGGGAACTGATGAAAAAACATGTGCACCCAGGCAAGAGTTCAAGCCTAACTGCAGTGAGAACTTGATGGAGTTACTCAGTTTTATTTGTCTATACCTCCATGCATTAAATTTTGCGTTTTAAAAAAAAAAAAAAGAAAAGAAAAAAGCAACACCCAAACCAAATACACACTACTGACAAAAATGTTTAGTGCTTGATTAATTATACTTAAAATCAAAATTATGAGAAAAATGAATTCAATTTAATAATCAAGGACCTACATGTTTACTGTTCAAAACATAAACTTGGAACCTGTTCCTAGTAGTTGCTTGAGTGCATAAATATAAGTGTACTCCAGCAGATTCCCTGCTGCAAATAATAACAAGTTATTTAGCTGAACTGAAATACCAAATGTCTTTCCCTTTTTCTACCTTTCCTCTAAATGGCTTCACTGTAGAGGCTTGAAAAGGACTATGCCTCAAGAGAGAGCAATATCATGAGAGAATGCAGACCAACTCAGTATTTAGAGTTTACAAAGATACCTTAAACAGCTTATGTATTTTATTAAAAAAGGTATTTTATTATTGAAGGCAGGCAAATTTTCTTTGGGTGTGAAAGGAAGATCAGTTATGAGTGTTACTCATGCAATATCTGTTCCATATTCCAAGATGAAAAACAGAATTATGTATTTGTCTCTCTTGTAGCTATTCTGATCCATTATTCTATGAGGAATGCAAAACAGAATATTTGAAGCAAAGAGAAGAATACAGAGCAACTGGAATTAAGAAAAAAAGACAGAAGCTTACTTCAAATGTGTAGTTAAATCTTAAGATGAACTTTTCAAATTTTATATCCAACTTTGATCTGACTTGATTTAAACAGACTTAAATCATCTGTACCCCTCTGTGTGGAATTTAACTGAAATACACAAAATGAGATGAATAGAGAATAAAATAATCTCTGAACTTAAAAGTAAATTTTTTTCTTTTCTGTGATTAAAGATATAAAACATGCTGTCACAGTTTGCAAGAGAACTTGCACAGGTCTGTTCCTGTGTCTGGACTTGAGATTTTGAAACCAATTTACAAATGGCCTTTTGGAATTTAAAGGTTATGTCTAAGTATGTGTGGCAGGCTACATAAAAACTTAAGGGTGAATAATTGAAGTTGTATTGACTGATCACAAATTGGGTATACATTAAAATTGGTCTGTTTGTCATCTGAAGCTGAGGGTGCATGGCGATGCACTTGATGCTCTTACTAGAAGAGAAGGGTGGCAAATGCAGAAGAGCAGAGCTTCTTGGACCAATTTGATTTATCTTTTTCATGAAAATGTTGAGTCGTATGAGAGCCTGATAGTACTTTTTGCCTACACTGTGACTCATTTTTAAGTCTACATTGTCAGAAGAGATGGATGCCCCATGCCCGTGTGTGGCCCAGATTGACCGTTTCGGCTCTAGAGGAAAAAGTCATCTGATCGAGACCTTTCCTGAGAATGGGAGAAGGCACGCTGAAGGCAAAATCACTGAGAGCAGTATCCTCCCCTACTTTCCTCTTCCAGAATGGAGATGATTGTATAAGCTTCCACACTTCAGGAGAAAGCGAGTGACCACACTTGCAAAAGTAGTGTGGGTAGAGGTGAGTAAACAACTAAACTAGGTGTGTAAGATGCAGGTCCCTTCTTGCAGAAACTAAGTGTAAGCAAGTCCCTATTTGAAAAGGGGCATACAAAGGATCTTTTGTATAGTGATACTTGAAGCTGCTTAATTGTAGAACTTCCAAATGCATAAATGGCTTCACTAGAATCATAGAATCATAGAATCAT